ATAATTCTTGGGTTCCATTGTAGATCTGATGTAAATTAATTTCATATTACTATTTTTATATAGGGGTAATTCTATATATCACTTAATATTAAGAAAAAACAAATATAACAAATGGGGAATTTTAATAATCACATTACTAAATTTTGATCCCTGAAATTCTTGGTAATACCAATGCTCACTTTGTCTGGTTTTGTTGCAGTATGCCCCATATTGGAATGCATCAAAGATGTTTATTTATATAAGATACTATTGTTCTTATCAACTCCACTTTAATAAAGGCATGATAAACTTGTAGATGAATATACATATATATATAGATGGATTTTTAACAAACAATTCGTGTTTTCTATTATTTCCATAATAAGCTATGATCTACATGTACAGCTGCAAATATTTTGTTAAATGCACAACGCTTTATTTTTAGTAATAAACAAATGCACATGTTTTGTTTTTTAGAATTTTTAGTAATAAACAAATAATCAATTCAATTAATTAAAAAGTAAACTAATAATAATTGTCAATTGATTAATTAAATGCATAATGCATTTCTTAAAAGTAAACAAATTATCAATTAGTTAAACACACAGTATTTTGTTTTTAGTAATGTTGTGCGTGAAAATGAAATTTATGTAAATTTGCAATTCATGTACGTGAAATTCAAATTAGCCAACCAGAATTTCATATCCAAACACCCACCCCAATAGATTTCAATTCACATACAACAGTAATAAACAAATAAACAATTCATGGTACAATCCAAAAAAACAAGACAAATGATAATAATAGTAAAAATGTTTCTCAGCACCTTTAACTAATAAACTATAAACCAATTCAATTGTCTATTAATTAATAATAAAACAATACTTTTCTTATAAAAGTAAATAAATGATGTTATTTTTTTCAAAAAAAAAAAAGAATTTTGTCAATTCTGTTTTAATTTAAACATCAACATCCTTTCAATGTTAATCTCATCAGAAGCAACTTGAAGTTGAGGAACTTGATTCGATGGATATTCATAAAAACATCAATAATAATAATAACCTAATGATTGTCAATGAGACAGCAGCGTCATCTTCTTTACAAACTAATCAAATTGAACAACAATATTATTTGAATCTAAATCCTGATCTTGAATAATAAAACATTTGGATATTTTTTTTGGTCAGCAATAATAATAAATTTTTTGAAAATTCATTTATCAATTTGTTCATTATTCACTGCTAATATATTATTTTTTATTACATCAAATTAATATAGAATAGGATTATTCTTTAAAAAAAAACATGTATATTTATCAAAAATAACTCTTTTTTTATTTATTAATTTAACCAATGCTTTAAAAATTATTTCTTTCTTCATTACATTCATTTAAACAATCTACTCCATTGCCAATAAAACGTCATACAACATTTGCTCAATTAAAACCATTTTCAAAGATCGATTAACAATAATAACTAAAAAAAAACTAAATAAAAAAAACCTAAATTTCTTTTTATATATTTGTATTTAATATCTATATATATATATAATGATATGACTAATCAATCATAATGCCTTGTTATCAACATTAACATTTGTAGACATGGTAGTTGTGGTAGTTGGATTGTCAGGCTCAGTTGTTTGTTCAGTTAAATATTTTTGTTTGTAAAATTTTTCTCGTTTAAAAAGTAAAATATGTGGTTCAGGTGCTAATAATATATGGTGATGATAACATAATATTAAATATTATATTTTATGATCTGCTATTATTACCATTACTATTTGATTGATATTATTACCATGAATCAAATAATGTTCCCATCCTTTTGATTGTTTTATACCAAGACTTCGCCATTCATCATCTGTTAAGAGCCTATTATGTGGCATATATTGAGCAATTTGTCTAGGTAAAGTAACATGTCTATATTTATAACATGATATATTTATTAGTGAAAAGACATTTTATCATCTTTTAAAATTACATACTAATAATATCTTTGATCTAAATAATAGAAATAAAAATAAAAATATACCTGTATTCAGAATATTCATCTAAAAAAATTTTTTTTAATATAATAAAATTGATAGAATATACACACACATAGATACATGTAAATATTAATGAACAAACCATAATACGTGTGAGAATAGCTGATGTTGTCTTCATACTGTTCGATTGTATATTTTCTTAATTCTTCGTATGTAGTAAATTGGTGTTGAATTTGTTTATCAGGTTGACTCCTAATAGTATCATAATAATAATAATTTGGTTGATTGTTTTTACAAACAATTTAGTTTTTGATTATCATAATATTTTAATCGTAACAGTAAAAGCAATAGTAGTAACAATAATAGAAGAATAATAGTAGCAATAATAGATTGTTAAGGTCAACTAACCAATCTCTTTGTTGTGGTTGTTGCTGTTGTTGTGGTTGCTGAAGGTTTTCGACTTGCATGATGACAAGAATGACTAAATATTTTGAGAACACAAAAAAAGATAGTGCACGCGGTCTAAAGACCTTCTAAACTTTTAAAAGTATAGAAGTTACTTTCTGTCCACCTTTTAAAAAAATAGTTCTGTTAGTTCTGTTAGTTGATAGAATAAGTCTTTCTCTCTAACTTTAATATAACAGAGATTTTCTCAAAATTGTTTGTTGTAGAGTTATATATACTATTCTTTTTTAGTACATGTATGTTTTTGAGGAATTTGGCCTCGAGTATCATTACTAAATTTAGAATTAGTTTACGAACATCACTAATTTTTATTACTATTACTATATTACTTGTATTCGCATTTCATGTGTTAAAGATCAATTAGCAAGCGGAAGATTACCTACTATTAGCTAGTAACTACTTAACTACATTTCAGGGCCTCGCTAAGAGTAGAGGCGGAAAATCAATTAATTTTTATAATGATAAACAAATTAATTATTTGTTTAATAAAATTACATATCTTGGAAGTTATATGACCGTTTAATAACATGTTTTTTCAAATTTACACACATTGAATGACATTACGGCTTTTAATTACGGCTATCACTCAGATTCCTTAATAACATGTATATTCATGCACATAGGTACGAAATTCTTTATACGAGTTAATATAAATTATATTATATAAAATTTTAAGATGTCAATCACTGACACGAATTTTTACTATGCTTATGTTAACAACTAGCATAACACCTTTATCACTTATCTTCCTAGAAAAAGGCCTAGATTTTCAAATAATTGTGCCAGATAAAACTGTCAACGGTCCATTATTTTATTTCGAAACTAGTTTACAACCTTATGATGAAGTATCAGGTGCTAGTCATGCAAGTTAAGCCTTGTATTTGAAATCCTACGAATTCTTAATGGCCTATGAATAAAGCTCAATGCCAAATGTTAAAAATTATATTGAACTTAAATTTCAATCTGTTTTTGAATCTATGGATGTGTAACTAAATCCAGAAATTCCAACTCTACCCAAAGATTTTCCTTGAAAATAATTAAGTTATTGATGTTATTATTAAAATCGTAAAAAAAAATTTTTTTTTGTATTTATGTATTTCTATAAGAAATATTTTTGTAAAGAGCCTTTTTATACCCGTTGTCAAATCATGATATCTAATTATTAATCATGACCAAATGACAACAGTTCCGCAATGTAAAAACTGCATCAGACATGTTGAATAGTAGTGGTTGATGTAATTGGAATATTTGAAGTAGTAGATTTATTAATTGGTTATTTGAAAAGAAAATAGTAAGAATGTGTTATTATCACACTTTCCCATAATAATAATAATAACTAAAAATTCTGTACAACAGTAAAAAAAAAAGTAAACCACAGAGCTTAAGTGAAATAGTCAAATACATCAATCATGATTATAAAAACCATTATAAAACATTATATTCTTGTTTTTAATTTTTTGGGGGAATCTTGAAAACATATTGGGATATTAATTGTTCTTTTGTGTGTCTTTTTTGTATCCCTTGTAGATATTTCACCACAATCTTGTAAGTATTCTAAATATTCTGCTTTTGAATAATCATTATTTTCCACCAATTTAATCATGTTTCTAACAATCATCTGTGAGAATGAACTGATTAGATGTGGAAACTATATATATAAATACCTGTATATAAATAAATGTCAACAGTTACTTTAGATTTCCATGCTACTATGAGAGCAGGTAGTACTTTTTTTCCAAATTCATTAATTTGAGTTGGAATTTCATAGGTTTTGGTTTGTGAAATTCTGTATATGTAGCCCATTGGTGAATCTAACCGTAATTGCATTATCATCATTCCTAATATCCACCCAGGAAAGAAAGGTTAATAATCATATCTAGTGGAATCATGACATGTAAACTCTATGCTTTTTCTACAATACCAGAATGGATGAATGCAATTGTTTCAAATTTTCTAAATTTATCTTCTTCATAATCAATGTATTTACACAAGCTGCAATATTGATCTGCACATCCATATTAAAGACTATTGCTGTAATCCAAAAAAGGAAAAGTATGGTTGCAAAAGTGGTCGCAAAGGTAATTGCAACCACTTTTTATATGTCGTAAATACAATTACTACCATCATCATAATTTACAGCACTAGTCTTTAATCCATATTCCTTGTAACCTTTTCTAATCAACATGTCACCACAATTGCCCATAGATTTACATTTTAAGGATTTGACAGCAGGAACTGTTCTATACATATTTTTACGTTCAGCAGAAGCAATGCTGCAAGGTTCTCCCCTTTTAGCAATGAAATCAATTGATTATAAATAATAAAGGATAATTTACAAAAACACAAAGCAGCATCATCTTACCTAACTATTTCAACTTCATTTAGGTCTTCAAATACTTTATCAATAAAATTCCATAGATGTATTGTATACCATGCTTCAAGATGATTTTTTGTGAAATTTTCATTTTCATATTCCCTTAATCTATAAAATGAAATACGTAGAATTAATTTTATTATAAGAGCTAAAATATTCAATACTGCTGAACAATATTTACAAATTATAGGCAGTGTTCTTGGTTCAATCATAATCAAAGTGTTTCAATCTTTCAAAATTTTCATTAAAAGCTTCACTATGGTTGATCCGTTTTCTCAGATCTATAATATTGTCCTGTGCACATAAAGATACTATAAATAAGATACTCACAAGAACAAAATTAAAATTCCAATATATAATCTTATCATAAAAAAATGTTTACCACATTATAGCTTTCCATATAATCTAATAAATCAGAAGGGACCTTTGGAGTTGGTTTGATATTAAATTCTTTTATCTCTTGAAGCTCTTCTCCCATGAAAACATTTTGAATTATATAATTTTCATCACTTGGATCAATTATCAATGAATGAGCTAAACTATGAATGTACAATGTACATGTTTAATGTTAATCTATATGTAATGGCAATGCTTTATCAATATTAAATTTAATAAATATTTACTGCTCATGTTTGCATTTAACTCCAAAATTATATAATTTATTTTCTACAATTGTTCTGGTTGAAAGCTTCCACTTTTGGTCTTCATTCATAGAATCAAATTTAGATTTAAAACTTTCATAATCTTTTTTTTGAAGTTCGGCCTCATCATCATTTATATCCCTATTGAATTAAAAGAATAATATTAGTTATAATAATTAGAATGACAATTTGTAACCAATCACTACAACCTCCATTTTTAAATTACAACTAGAATGATGACGAGTTGCAATGATCACAACCACCACCATTCTTTTTAAATAACTAGAGTGACGAGTGGCAGTGATAACTGCCACCACCATTCTTATGATAAACACTTTGCCAATTTTTTTTCTTTTTGTTCTTTGTTTCTTCTCTTGTCATTTTTATTATTTGGAGGCATTCTGAAAAGAAAATTTTAATTTGTGATTTGATCAACAAAAAAACGCGTACAGTGCGTAACATCATAAGCCATCACGTGCTGCGCCATTTGCCGAAAATTTTTATGCTGATCTTGCTTTATAAAGAATCCAATAAATTCAAATTTGTAAAAGATCTGTGGCTTTGTCACGTGAATAATTGGTAAATAACCTGTAAATTGCAGTTTAGATATATGGGGTCTGGACAATAGAAATGGACCATGTTGTGAAAATGTTTTGAGAAAATTTAAAAAAAGATCTACATTTCAAGTAATTTACTATTGTTTTTAAAACTTTAATGGAGAGTATCTCAAAGTTTTATTAAGCAAAGTGGGTATGGTTTCTAAGCCAAAAATGTTCTACATGAGGAATTACATATAATAGTGATACTAACTCAAAATTGCTTTTTTGTCCGTTTCTATTGTCTACACCCCATATAGTTGCCGAAATTTTAAATAAAATAGCAAAGTTACCCAACTTTAAACCATTATAACTTTTTTTTTAATTAAATAACTCAAAAAAAACTTTCTATTACATTATTTTTCATGTCTAGAATATTGCAAAAATAGAGAGTTTTTGGTAAAATAGCCCGTATTCTCATTTATAGCTGTGATATACCCTATGAATTTGTTCATTGATCTGCTTAATAATGAAATAGTATGTTTGGCTCAAAAAGCACATAGTTGAAATTGAATTATTTTAGTTACTTCCTAATCAATGTTGTTTTGTTGGAAACTATTTTTTTATTAAATCTTATAAAGATCCAAATTACCTGCCATTTTTATTCCTGACAAACTCAGGAAATTGGTTGATCAGGAAAATCAGGGAAATGTAATCAAAAAACTTGTGCGACCTTTTTAAAATTTTTATCCATCTATAAACTTTTTTTAAAGGTGTTGTTGACTGTTAATAAAATATTATATTAAGATTTAAGTAATGGCTACGTTTGGTGGAGGTTATTATATTTTAGCAATACTGTGAAACTTTAGAAACAATACATTTATAAATAAACAAACTGATCTATAAAGTTTTGTTATTTATCGATAGATGAAGTTTCAGCTATTATTCTAGATGCTGGTTCTTGTTGGACTCGTGCTGGTTATGCAGGTGAAGATGCACCAAAAGTAATATTTCCAACTTCTTATGGCTACATTCCAGAAGCTGAAATCGGCAGTGTAACAGCTGATGGAGATACTATAATGGATGAAGCAGCTATGAAGGTTGAAGGTGGTGAAGGATCGGAAGCGATCAAGACAAATAAACAAAATAGAACTAAAAAAGGAAGATATATAGTGGGTGATTCGGAAATTGCTACTTGGAGACAAAATATGGAAATTAAAAATCCGTTTGTTGATGGTTTAAGTATGTAGAATTTTTAAAATCGAGATATTATTATCATTAATTTATTTTGTTAATATTATTATTCCAATTTTCTTTTAAAAATATAGTTCAAGATTGGGATGCTTTAGAAGAAATTTGGGATTATGCTTTAGAAAAAAGATTAAACGTTGATCCTAACGAGCATCCATTGTTTGTAACAGAACCTGCTTGGAATACTCGTGAGATTAGAGAAACTCTCACTGAACTTGCATTCGAAAAATATAATACTTTGGCATTTTATGTTGCAAAAAATCCAGTATTAACTTCGTATCCTTTAAATTTGTTTGGTCAGACTCATCATCTCATTTACACATATGGATTGCTTTTCTGTATTGAAATAAAATCTTTAACAATTGGGAATTAAAAAATAGATTTGCAACTGGTCGTCCAACAGCAATTGTTTTAGATTGTGGAGCGAGTACTACAAGTTGTGTTCCAGTTGTTGATGGATATGTTTTAAAAAAAGGTTTTAATTCAAATATTTACATTATTCAAAATTGATGTTTATAAATAAGATAAATATCAATATAGTAAATATGATTTGTTTTAAAATTTTATAGGAATTTATAAACAATCAATTGCAGGAGATTTCATTTCAGAACAAATAATGCAATTATTGCAACAAAAACTTAATATTAATATCATTCCACATTATTTGATAGCAAAAAAACTCGGTGTTGCTGAACCAGATATGCCTGCAAAGGTAGAATTACGAGATAGGCCAAACACCACAGAAAGTTACCATAAATTTATGCAAATGGTAAAAAAAAATCAATTACTAAGTTCACGAATTAATCCAAACTTTTCTAAAATTAAAATAATATGTTGCTGATTTTCAGCAAAACAAATATATCTATGTATGTATAATAATTGGCTTAGAAAGTAATACAAGAATTTAAAGAATCTGTATGTCAAGTATTTGAAACAACATATGATGATTTGTAAGTAATTATCTTGTTTTTTTTTTTTTTTTATTTATTTGATTTTTTTTCCATCGAGAAAACCAACAATAATTGTTTATTTATCTTACAGGGTTATTGCTGCTCGACCATTAAAAAGTTTTGAATTTCCAGATGGATTCAATACATCTTTTGGCACTCCACGATTCGGTATACCAGAAATTCTTTTCTCTCCAACAAACAATACATACCGGGTTTAGATTTTATTGATTATTAGATTATTTATTTTATTTATTTATTTTCAATATTTATAATTTCTTTGTTTTACCAATTAGCTTCAAGAAGGCACTGGAATTGACACATCTTCATTGATGAGTATCCATCAAATGATACATAATAGTGTAGCTTCATGTGACATTGATATTCGACCAAATTTATTAACTAACATTATATTAACTGGTGGGACTACGTTATTACCTGGATTCGCTGATAGATTAAATTATGAATTGACTATGATGACTCCAGGGGTAAAACTAATCTGAAATCATCAAATTTTTATATATTTTATATATATATATATATTTATTTATTTATTTATTTATTTATTTATTTATTTATTTATTTATTTATTACTAATCAATAGTTAAAGGTTAAAATTCACGCACCAGGTAACAGTATTGAACGAAAATGTAGTAGTTGGTTAGGTGGTTCAATTTTGGCATCATTAGGAACTTTTCATCAATTATGGATATCACGCGAGGAATATAATGAACGCGGAAAATCTATCGTGGAAAAGAAATGCGAATAAATTAAACATGTCAATAAATGGAAGATTTATTATAAATACATATACAAATTAGATATTTTTAGATAAAAGAAAGTTTTAGTTTTTTTAGTTTTATGAAATGGTTATTTTTAGTAGAATTTCTACTGTTACTTTTTGATTAGAACAGTTCTAGCAGCTGGCTCTGGGGTGGGCATTTTGGACCAATTATTTAAGTTCGGAATCGCATTCTTATTTCTTTCTAATATTGCGTTAATATTTTGTGTGATTGATGATTTCAAATCTCTGGCAGGATAAAAATTTTTCTTTCGCAAAAATTATCTTCCAAAGATTGATAATCTGTATAGTAACATTACCATCATCTTTTTCTAGTTTCTTGATTATGAATTTTGGTATTTGGAGGTTAGTTTGTGGTCGGCCGATGAACTGCAAAATTATCATAGTAACAATAATATATGAAGCAGAATTCATTATATTATTATTATAATGTGCCAAGTTAGGAAATAGAAAAGTCTATGGTGGCAAAAATTTCGGATGATTTTCTGCATTGGAATAGGTCCAATCTTGGGATGATGACATTTTATAAACCACTTTATGTTTTTATTATCATCATATTATCGTCTCTATCTGATATTTATTGTTGTGACCGCTTATACGCTTCCAAATATTGAAGTTGTGGAAATATTGATTTTTTCAAAGATCATTTTTATTAAACTTTACAAAATACAAAATTTATAACAATCAATGGGAAACAACCTTGCAACTAAATCTTGTGGTAAATCAGAAGATGAAAATGTTAAAGAGAACTATTAAGTTCAATCGGATAAAAGAATATGTGATTGTTGTTGTTGCAAAAATAGTGTCACCATCACTAAAAAAAAATAAATGCTCTCATTGATTGCGAACTTTGAAAAAAAAAACTTTTGATGGAAAAAAAACATATGTGAAATTCATTCATTCGTAAATAGATGTTTTGCGCCGCCAGAATATTTTAAGGTAAACCTTCCTTTTCGTCACTATGTTTGTGTTGGTGAATCGGATATAAAATAGACGAGTTTATTGCTTCAAATAATTTTTTTAAATTCTTGTCAAAAAATAAACTTAAAAGTTAATGAACAAAATGAATTCTTGTTCGTTTATTTCGATTTTGATATTGTTCTTATTTATTATTATGAATTTCATCATGTCTTTGTGTGATGTTTACGAAAAATATTTAATTTTAAAATTCATTGAATTAATTTAACGACAACTAACGTCGTCTATTATTAATTTTCGTTTCAGGCACCACGGCACCTACTCACGCTTTACCTGGTCAGCTGTGAACGAGTATTACGATTCTTTATTTATTAATTTAAACTTCTAGATGAAATAAAATTTTTATTCTTTTGTCATCGGATGGGAAGAGTAAGATGTGGGTATAACGAACCAACAATTCAAAAAAACAAAAAAACAAAAGCATATGTGATACAGCAAGCATGTGTTTACCCATGTTCACAATGATTAAAATACTAATTATTCTCCATTACAGCATCATCAGTTGACATTCTAAAAGTTTTTTTTAAAGCTCCGAACGGTTCGGTTTGGTTCGATTCATATTTGACCCAAAAATTTCAGACATTCTAAACTAGTTAACTACGCAAAATATACATAATAACTTCAAAAAATTTATAATAACTTGTAGCTTAGTTTTAGCGAATGCGTTGCGAAGTAGAGATGCTGGAAGGATCCTGTTTCTAATTACATACATAATCTAATTTTTATACCATGGTAACGATGGTCCATTTCTTACCAAATTAGAATGGCAAAATTTGTACCTTTAGAGTTTCTATTCGTAATACAAATTTTATTCGAATTATTCGTTTATTCACTTTATTCGTTCTTATTCTATTCGAATTATTCGTTTTATTCGAATTATTCGCATTTGTTCTATTCTCATTATTCTCGTTTCATCCGAATTACTCTTTTCATTCGTTTTATTTGATTTGTTCGTTTTTTTCACTTTATTCGTTTTGTTCGAGTTACTTGTTTCATTCGTTTCATTCGTTTAATTCGACTAAACTTTCAATTTAATTCAAATACTCAAATTCATAGCGAACGAAGCAAATAATTTGAATGGAATCCTAAAGACGTTCTATTTCTTCAATTCATATATAAGATTCACCGTCTCCGCAAAATTTTAAACTCATATTGTTTCAGGTTCTAAAACACAACGCCTTTGAGTGTGCCTCCAGAAAAAACTCGTTCACTGGTTGTTATTAGGGTAGAAATTAATAAATTTAATCCTAAATAAGCAGAGTGCAAAAATTAGAATACCAAGAACTGTCAAGTAATTTTTAGCCTAAATCTCATTCAAACCAAAAATTTCGGTTCGATTTCGGTTTGGTTCAAAGAGTAAACCAAAACCGAACCGAACCGTTCGGAGCTTTAGTTTTTTATAACTTGCATACATTTGTTGAATTATGTGATTCATGAGTTTGTAATATCAAGAAGGAGATTTTTGACATCCATAATCATAAATAAATTGTCATGAAATTCCATATTAGTATTCTATTTTTTTTTGTAGTGTATGGATTCCTCCACACCCTCCGCACTTGACAAAACAATTGTAAAAATTTAAGCCATTGTTAAATGGTTTTAAAAGCAGTTGAACTTTTCACATCCTTATCACCAAATCCAAATAACATCAGGATGCAATATTTATCTATAATTAGTAAAATACATGATAAGCATTTAATTTCTTCAAGATTATTTTCATTTTGCTAAGTCTTTTCTCAATTGCCTTAAGATCATTTTTAAAACCATTTTCATTTTGTTCCAATTTAAGCTTAATGATATCCAAATCATTGTCTGGTTTGGACCTATCAACCATACTTCTAATTTGGTCAGAAATAAATGGCAAGTAATCTGGATCTTTAGACTTTCACGCACCCATTTTTTAATTTAATTTGGCCAGGATCATCGACAAGCATATAAATATTCCATTTTGAGCATATGACACAAGTCACGCGATAATTTTTTTATAACATAGATCAAAAGCTTTGATTAGAAAAATGGTATTTTTTATTAATCGTCATAATGCAACAACCAACCTTTCTTGCTATTTTTTTATTTTTTTTATCTCAATTACTTATTTTCAATTTTGATGATGATAAATAAAGGGCAAAGCAAAAAAAACTAGAAAATTTGCACAAGTTAAACGTTTATTAAATCCCAATGATTCAAGATTGTAAGAGCTTCAATATCAATCAGTTAACTAACAATAATGATGACTATAATATGTTATTTTTTTAACAAAGTTTTTAATAATTGATTTTAGGAAAGCAGTGCAAGAAAAACAAAAAAAAAAGGAAGAAAAAGAAAAGGATTTGGTTAGAAACATGCAAGTACCACTTTCAATATCTTCACATCTTTTTATTGTCACTGCAAAAAAAAAAAAATAACAAGTTTATTTTTTATTTCCTTTACTCTATCTAAAATTAAACAAATAAATAGTCCACAAGTTGCATCATCACTTTTCTTTAGGCATAATACAGCTTTAGGTCCACCATATCATATATTAGTTGATACAAATTTTATAAATTTTTCAATTCAAAATAAATTGGAACTTATACAAGCTATGATGGATTGTTTATATGCTAAATGTAAGTTTATACAAATTTATATTTGTGTGTGTATGTACATGTGGGGTGTGTTTTTTCGTGTGTAGGTGGTTTTTATGTGTATATGGGTGTTGGTAGATATTAATCTTTTTTTTTTGATTGATTGATCGTTAGGTATTCCGTGTATAACAGATTGTGTAATTGCAGAATTGGAAAAATTAGGTCCAAAATATCGAATTGCATTACGGTAAAAAATTCGAAAAAATTATAATCATTATCATCATTATCATAACATGCATTTGTAAAAATTTTTAATTTTTTTAAAAAAAATATAATAGTGTTGCAAGAGATCCTAGATTTGAAAGATTCAAGTGTACACATAAAGGCACATATGCTGATGATTGTATAGTTCAAAGAGTCATTCAGGCAATTAATTAATTAATTCACTATTAAATTAAATTATAATTAAAATTTTAAAAGTTGTTTTCATCTTTTAATCATCTTTTTTATCTTTTTCTCTAATAAATTACAGAATAAATGTTATATAGTCGCAACTTGTGATAAAGATTTGAAACGACGTATTCGTAAAATACCCGGTATACCTATTATGTATATATCAAAAAGAAAGTATACAATAGAAAGGTTACCTGAAACAATTTAATTTAAATTGGTAAATTATAATCATAAATGAATGAATGAATGAAATTGTTTTTTTTATTTTATTATTAATGTAATTTAATTTAAACTAAAAAAGATATAATACAATTTTCTTTTTTTATATCAAATTAATTGTTTTTGTCTAAATATTTATATATTGGTTTAACTGTTCGTATGTCATTCCTCAAGATCTGCCCAAATATACTAGTGTAATGGCTAAATTTAACAATTTATTATTCAATGACTTATGATTGATTATATATAAAGAGAAGAAATTATATATATATATATATGATATATGTGATACTGAAAAATTCTATATAAATTATGTGAAGACGTTTGCCATAATTGCCTCTCAATATTAATAAATGATTGTCGCAATTTTAGGGTGTCAATGCTGAATTGTTGTAGTTCAGGTAAAATTTAATTTTTTTCATATATACGTATATAAATCTAAATATATTTAATATATTTTTGTGATACATAATTTGTGGCTGGAAAAAAAAAGTTCTTTAAAAAAAAATTTTTTTTACAAATATACAAAAACCACAATGGAAAACATTTCGGATGAAAATAAACATCATGATGATACTTCTAATGATAAAAACGATGAATATTCTGATGAAAGATATGAATGGTGTGGGGAATGTCCAACATGCAATAGATACAATACCAATAGGTCATGGTGTCAATCATGTGATCCAAAGTTATTAACTAAAGGATGGACTAGTGGCAATGAAACATTAGATGAGTTGATTAAAAGTACACAACTTAAAGCAACTGATTATAATAATGATTATTATCTTCAATGGATTCCTTATAATGATTTAACAAATATTGAAAAGATAGATGAAGGTGGGTTTGCAACTATATCCAAAGCTACTTGGTTAAATGGTGATAAATATTCATTTAATAAAGAAAGAACTAGTGAAGATAGGACTGTAGCACTAAAAAAACTACATAATTCACAGAATATTTCTGATGAATTTCTT